AAACCCACCATGGCTAGGATTGTAGCAGAAGTCACCCCAAAAAGGTGGCTCATGACATAAAAAAAAAAAAAGCATATTATTGGATTATTGGTTGCTAGAGTCAGGAGAAAGGGAAACGGGAAGTAACCACTAATGTGTATTGTGATTCCTGTGAGAGTAAGAAAATGTTCAGAGCTGGGCAGGGTGCTACACACCTGCATACACTCTCTACTATATTTATCATCTGCAAATTATTTGCTAAATAAAAGAAAAAGCCCAAGTGGCAATGGTATAGCAATGATGACTGGCAAAGAAAGAAAATCTCATCTTACTGTCAGAGAGCTCACAAATGAGATCACTATTCCCAAATGAAAGAAAGTCAAATTGGACAGTTTGACATTAATTCGAGACCAGATTCTAAAATTAGTAACTTAATGGAACTTTGTAGCAACCTAAAAAGGGAAACCATCAGCCATCAGGAACATCAAGATTCACTCAGTCATCATTTCAAAAGGCTGTATTTCCTTTCGCTCAGATGAACTGTTTGGAGGAGTGACGAAGGATGGCTAAGAGACCTAGTAAAGTTACCAAGGCTAAAGTCCTAAGAAATGGGGCAAAGGGCATCAGCTGCTAAGAATGTGCACACCATAGTTTCTCTTGGATAAGATGAGGAACGAGGCAATAACACTAAGCACAATTTATAGTGCCTGGTACCAAACTGAGAGGATGGGTATAAGGATCCAAAGCAAGATTGAGCAACATTCTAAACCCAATGGAAAGCAAGCAAGCAACAACAAAAACAAAAAACAAACAAAAAGCCTAACTCATGTACGTTTAAGACATTGTAAACCAAAGCTAAACAATGATTTCTTTGGGCATGAAAAAGTATTCTAGAACTGGACAGTGATGATGCGTGCACAACACCACATGCATACTAAAGCCAATAGGTTGCACATTAAATATAAATGTAATCATTACTGTAGTGTGTGTGTGTGTGTGTGTGTGTGTGTGTAGTATGTATGGTATGTAAGAGGGCTCACAATCCAATCAAGTTACAGATACAAGGCATATAAAACCTAGATTGCTAATATGCCTATTTTAAAAAATGAAGTACTTAAATGAAGAGCACTGTTCATTCTTTCAAGCATTATTTAATACATGCCTCACTGTGTGAGGAGCTATGGATGAAGGAATGAATACATCCACATTTTTCTGGGATCCCCAATTAAGAAAGGAAGCTCAACAGTCAACAAATACCACCAAAATTAATATAATAACCAAAATGAGGAACATAAAAGAACAAAATGGTTCCATACAAAAAAATAGGCAAGTCTAATTTAGATGAAGGTAGAGGCAATATCCCCTCTGAGATTACATATATTAGATTTATTTTGTGTGTGTTTTGTTTGTATTCATATATGTGCACCACATGAGGGTTGGTGCTTGTGGGGGTCAAAAGAGGGCACTGGATCCCCGGGAATTGGAGTTACAGATAGTTGTGAATTATCATGTGGGTTCTGGGAACTGAACCTGGGTCCTCTACAAGATGAACAAGTGCTCTTAACTACTAAGCCATCTCTCCAGTCCCTGACAATACGTTTTACTTGAAACTTTGACTATGAGAAATTTAGCCTGGTAAAGAAAAGAGCAGAGTGTGCCATCTCCCATTCCTCCTGGAAAGGAATGACAGTGTGTAAGTCCTACACTACAAAAGAAACCATCACACTTGCTAAACCTTCAAAGGGCATTGCCCTGGTCAGGAAGTGGTCAATAAATAAAGCTGGGGAAAGTGGACAAGTCAGTCACACAAAGTCCTAGAATCCTTTGACTCATTTCATCTGTCAGCTTTACTGGATTAAAAATAAATAAATATAAAAACAAACATAACTAGGGCATGAATGAGGCACATGAATGTGGGGAACACCATCTCAAGAGTTGGGGTCCCTGACTACAGAAAAAGGGGGAGATAACTAAGCAGTGTCATTCCCTTTCCATACTGAGAACCTAGGGCCAAGTCATTCCACTATGATGGCCTCCCAACCATGATGGGCTGTAAACCCTTCAACTGTGAGCCAGAGTAAACCCTTCCTGCTCTAAGTTGCTTTCTGCTGGGTGTCTGGTGGCTGCTAAAGGAAAATTAATATAAGTAATGTGTGATCATATCTTGCTATAATAGAATTACCCAGCAAAGAAGAAAACAGGAAAATGGGGAGACTCTTCAGTAAGGGCCCAGACTAAGGAGTGGGAGTTAGAAGAAGGGGAAGCACGCCAAGGTCTGTACCAGAGAGGGTCACAAAGTCCATTAATAACTCAAAGTTACAAATGTGAAGGAAATGCCTTGCAGAAGATTACAACAGCAGAGCAAAGACTCCGCTTCCCACCGTGAACAGTACAGGTAACACCAAGCGCCTCACTCCCACCCAACTGCAAAGCAACTTGTTCTTGGAGTAGTTTTTCCCTGCACGGGACTCTTATGGTAGAAACGCATCCTGTTTAGCCTATGTTCTATAAAGAGCTTTACTGAAGTGTACACACAGGCACACACAGAGAGAAAGAAATACCTACAAGGCACTCCTTATAATTCAAATGTATCTTCTTAAACTGCACTCCAGAGCACACGCTGTGACAGCTATTCGTTTTCACCGAACAAATCAATAACTTACATTGTCAATGGAAAAGGAACTATACATCATGCGTGCATTTAATTTCCAAAAAAAAAAAAAACCCTTTGCATCCTGGTAAATAGTGGATCAGCTAAGCAAGTTTTGCATACACAAGCCCAAGATAAAAAAACTATAAAATCATGGAAAAACCCAGAGAATAGAACAGAAACACGAAGTCTATGAATATGACTTTCAACAACTACACATTTCATGTATGCTTTGAAAGTAACTATACACTTTTCCTTCATGCATATGCAATGGTTAATGTTTAAAATTCATGTGTCTGCTGTATGCACCCCTAGCAGCCAGAGTTGGATACTGGACTCTGCCTTCTGTTTTTCTACCACTTTCTGCCTCATTTTTGAGGCAGGGTCTCTCTTGCGGAAATGGGAGCTTGCAGCTTTGACTAGACTGGCCGGCCAGTGAGCTCTGGCAATCCTCATTGCCAGCCACCACTCAGTGCTGGGGTTACAGCTGTGTGCCAACACACACCCCGCTTTTATGTGCGTGCTGGGGACCAAATCAAATCCTCATACTTGTGTAACATGGACTTTACTAACTGAGTCATCTTCGGAGCCCAGCATCCTATAACCTTTTGCTGTTGCTGTATATGACTTTGTCCTCTATGGTGTTCCCAGCTGAGTACCATGCAACTGAGTTGTGCTTGTTTGCTCTCATACTGTCTTAAGTCTCCTGTTCTGCGTTGGCTTGCATTCACAGCTACCCTTGACGTACAACACTGCCTACAGGGTGGTGATGAAAACCAATCTTGTTGCTCAGGTATACATAAATGGCTTTGTCTGAGACAAAACAGAATTAGGACCAGAAAATGACTTTACTCTCCCAAGTTCATACTGAATGAGAGAATGCCACCCAGCGCCACGATAGAGAACTTGTCATCCTGGCTGGTGACATCCACACAAGACACCACCTGTACAAAGGGCCTCTTCATCATGAAAGAATGCCCTTGGTGAGAGACAAAGGAAATACAGGGGTTAAATTCATCATTATCAAATAAATTATTTAGTACCACTTAAGCCCTGAAAGCCTTGGGCCACCTATCCTGTGGTTTATGGAACTGTCTTCTAAGTTTACAATTTCCTGATTGTAAGGCAATTAAATTCCACAGTGTAACACCAATGAAATTTATATTTGCCACTGGAACTGACATTCTTCAGCAAGCTAGAAGAACCGAGTCTTCCACAAACATAATATTAAAGAGGTTTTTTAAACTAAGAGGTATCGGCCACCATTTCAGAATGTAGGAATAAATTCTTCTTGCTGGGTAGACAGCAAAGTAATTACATTTATTTCCCTTCTCATGAAATAATAATACCGCTGGGGCCACATGAGTTCTGTTCACTCAGATACAGCTTTGGCCTAAGTCTATCAGGGGCCTAGATTTTAAACATAAGACGTTTCGAGAAGGACTGTGTGATGGCAACAAGAGACAGACAACAGAATTTTTTTTTGGGGGGGGGGTTAGGGAAAAGGTAGAAGGGGAGGGAGAGAGGGGGGGAGGAAGCGGAGAAGTGGGGAGAGAGGCAGAATTTTTAAAAGTATTCCTTCCCATCTTTTTTTTTAATCTGATAGGAATTTCTATCATTACATTATTTTTGTTCTAAATTATATTTCAACAAAGAATGGCAAGGTTTGGAGGCTTCCAGGCTTACTTAACTGGATAATCGGAAACCAGTCATTTTTGTTCAGTGGCAAACGCTGGTGTGTTTAACACACACCCACGGATGAATCTATCCCTAGCATCTTTCTTCCCTGAGAAGCAAGCAAACTGGAAATAGAGGGATACGCCATCATTCAGTTATAGCAAGTATGGATCCTAAGCTCAGAGGAAGGCCCCCTAACAGCTCCCGCCATGCGATGGGAAAGGATGCATCGCGTGAGTCTTAAGTCTTAGCTTCCACAAGCTTCCAAGTTCATTCAAGCCATCTGTTTATAATGCGCTTTCCTTGCACCTGCTATTCAAGGGCTTGCTTCCCTTTCAACTGCTCAGAGCTACAGGCACCTTTCTAAAACGATTTTTTTTTTTTTTTGGAAGCCTAGAACCAAACAAGTAGAAAAACCTTGTGACTCAAGAGACAATTAGGGTTCGTTCCCTCCTGCCCACCCCTGCGTCCACAGCGCACCCCACAAACCGCCCTTCCTCCCCCCCAAGGACAAGAGGTTAGCTCCGGTTAGGCCTGTGAGCCAGCAAGAGAAAGGCCGGCCCCGCAGCGCACAGGGAGATGCTAGGGAGCCGCCAGCTCCTCCCTCGCTCGCGGTCCAGCTCCCCGTGGGGCAGCTCCGTGCGCTCAGGCTCAGCATCCCTCCAACTCTCCCTCCTCCGCCCAGGCCACCAACCTTGGGCGTGCGGATGTGCTCCATGGCGGACCCGCGACTGCAGGTCCCCGGCGGGCGCGGCCTCACGCACCTACGCGCGCGTGCGGCGCAAAGGGAAGGGAGGGGAGGGGGCTTCGGCCGGAGCGGGCGTGGGCGGGCCGTGGGCCTGGCTCCGCCTCCAGGTGCGCGGGATGTGCGGGAGCCCCTGAGCGCCTGCGCGGACCCCGGAGCTCGGCTCTGCGCCTGCTCGCACCTGCGGGTCTCACACCCCCTTTGGACTTCGCCCTCCCTCTCGGTTTCGCCTCTCTGGCTAAGGATCTCACTGCCCAAGCTGCTCGATTTTATTTTCCTCCCCCGAGATGGGCATCCTCAAGTCGGTCATGGAAGCGCTTGCCTGAATGTCCCATCCACTCAGGAGGCTGAGGCAGGAGAATCATTTGGGTCCAGCAGCTTGGAAACCACAAGAGAGACGTAAAGACATCCCCGTATTTTAAAAACAGAAGGAAAAAAAATCAAAGGCGGTCAGCTTTCGTAGTACGGTAATACTGTGGCACTACTGTTCCCTGAGGTACAAAGAGGGCCTTGTGTTGGGTGTGGCTTCTTGGAGAGATGCGAATAAATATGTGGAGCTTTACAGCCTCATTGGCTGTGCTCCAGAGCATCCCAGGGTAGGTGAGATTTCAGAGTGGGCTAGGAAACAAAATGACTACAAATGTACCCTTATGTGGTACGCATAGTCTAGTGGGCTCTGGCTTTATTTTGGCCCAGGCTCAGCCATCCGAGTATTTGGGATGAAAATGAGATTAATACCAACATTGTTTTTGCCCTATTAAGTTTGCCACTAAAGCCAGACATCTCACGTCACCGTGTGACTTCGCTGTCGGAACTCTTGATAGAGATGCGAAAACACTTGGCCCTGTGCTAGGAACACATTTGGCCATCTTTACCTAGTTCAAACTAAACAGAAGCTAGAGACACAAAACCATCCTTTATGAGGTTCCATTAAGCCACTGGGGAAGGCTAGAGACTGAAAACGGCAGCTCTAAGTGAACACGCCATGCCATACTGAAATTTCGTAGAACAATTCTTGGAGTTGTATTTATTTTGTTGCTTTCCTGGCCTTTATTTATGACAGTTTTGTAAACTCTTTGATCGTACATACTGTGTATTTGCTTGTTCGATGTCTGGTAGGCATCTTGTAGTCTTCCAAATATTTATTCAATACGTTTTAAAATCGTTGCATCCCCTTCACATTGTATATCCCTCAGGCTTACTGTCTCTAGTACTTAGAATGCTACCATATACCCTTCAGGCTCCCTGCTTTCACTACTCACCACCAAGTAGAAGGGAGGATATTGTAGGGTTTTGTTTTACAGAAGGGATCTTAGAGTTGTCAGGTGAGGGAATGATATATGTTATTAAAACATATATCTATATAATTTCAATATGTCTATATTCAGGGAATGCTTAAATTCAACCTAGGTAGATGACAAAGCCTAATAATCATTTATTGAAGAGACACTGTCATTATTTAAGCAATTCATGCTCAGAGTATCACAGCAGATGCCAAGAAACTGATGGGTGATACAGATGAGGATACTAAGTTATAAACGTGGTACAGCCCACACCAAGCAAATGAAGCTAAGCCAACTAAGATGCTCACAAAAGGCCTAATGAAACCAACCTCCCAATGATGATTTGTGCCTTGAACTTTTTTGCTATTGCTTAGATGAAGCCCAATAGGATCAGACACTTAGTTCTTAAAGTTCAATGTTTCTAGAGGAATTTTTAAATAAAAAACTTGCTACAAACTGGGGACTCTTCCAATACTCTGTGATCTTCAGTGGCCTGAAGATACTTGGAAATGTGCCAAACACTTACAGTTTTTCTGGAATACTTTTATTTCTCCCAAGACAGCTCAAATTTTGGATCTGGCAATGACGCCAAAAAGTGTTTCCTTGGGGACTCGTGTGGCTAATGATTGCATGTTAGCTAAAACCCTGGTCAGGACTATTAAACCCTAATGGATCACGCTGCATGCAGAAGAGTGACACATCTCCAAACAAGCCTACCCTCTGATAGGAAATGTTGTGAGACACCTATGTGAGAAGATCAGAGATGTATGTGAGGCCTTGCCTGGTAGAGAAAAAACTGACATCTGACCCCCTCAGGGTTTAAATAAAGTTGATAGTGTGGGATATCATGTCGTCTTTGGCTTTTTCCTGGTATCAAAGACGTAGAGAAAAAAAAACTAAGTGGATTGTAGACATCTCTGCCTTTTTTCCAGAAACCAGAAAAGAAACGTCAGGGCAGCCAAAAAGAGCACTTAAGTCGGTGAGCAGGCAGGGTTTTTAAATAGTCTCCTTTATTTTGTTCTCTCTCCAGGAAGACTTGGGGCTCAAGCCAAGTCTGTGTCCTTAGGCCACTTGCATTGCTTATTCGTTTTCACCCCCATGCCTTCAAGCCCTGCTTTAATACATGTGCTTCTCATCTTGGCATTTCCAATCCTGAATTCTCTCCCTTAAATATTGTAGCTCCATTTTCCTCCTCAGTGTAATCTGTAGGCATAGTTCAGTTGGTAAGGTGCTTGCCACATTCGCATGAGGACCCGAGTTTGGATGACGTAGAATCTCAGTATGGTGGAAGAAATGCCTGCTATCCCACTACCGGGAAAGCAGAGAGAAGTGGCTGATACAAGGACTCGCTGATCAGATAGCCTAATCTAATCAGGCAAGCCACAGATCACACGTAGTAAGAGACCGCGTCTCGAAATGCAGGGTAGATGGCTTCTTGGTAATGACAGCTGAGGTTGTCATCTCTGGTCTACATACACACACACACGCACACACACACAGCTCACACATTCACACACACACACACACACACACACACACACACACAAAGCTCATGTGCCCACAGTCATACACATGCAATGATAATCCACTTGTCACAAACCAGGTATGGTTAAGAACTTGGGCCCTTATTTAGCTTCTCTAGGAACATGAATTATAAGCTCAATGTCCTTTATTTATGGCTAGAAACCAAATATGAGTGAGTACATCCCATGTTCCTCTTTTTGGGTCTGGCTTACCTCACTCAGGATAGTGTTTTCTATTTCCATCCATTTGTATGCAAAATTCAAGAAGTCCTTGTTTTTTACTGCTGAGTAATACTCTAATATGTATATATTCCATACTTTCTTCATCCATTCTTCCGTTGAAGGGCATCTAGGTTGTTTCCAGGTTCTGGCTATTACAAACAATGCTGCCATGAACATAGTTGAGCATATACTTTTGTTGTATGATAGGGCCTCTCTTGGGTATATTCCCAAGAGTGGTATTGCTGGATCCAGGGGTAGGTTGATCCCGAATTTCCTGAGCTAAATAAGGTGAATCCAAAGACATAGGCATCCTCAGGAATATTAACCTTCATCAGGCGATGAAAGGAGACAGAGACAGAGACCCACACGGGAGCACCGGACAGAAATCTCAAGGTCCAAATCAGGAGCAGAAGGAGATGGAGCACGAGCAAGGAACTCAGGACCACAAGGGGTGCACCCACACACTAAGACAATGGGGATGTTCTATTGGGATCTCACCAAGGCCAGCTGGCCTAGGTCTGAAAAAGCATGGGATAAATCCGGACTAGCTGAACATAGCGGACAATGAGGAATACTGAGAATTCAAGAACAATTGCAGTGGGTTTTTGATCCTACTGCACGTACTGGCTTTGTGGGAGCCTAGGCAGTTTGAATGCTCACCGTACGAGACCTGGATAGAGGTGGGCAGTCCTTGGGCTTCCCACAGGTCAGGGAACCCTGATTGCTCTTCGAGCAGATGAGGGAGGGGGGCTTGATCGGGGGAGGGGGAGGGAAATGGGAAGCGGTTGTGGGGACGAGGCAGAAATCCTTAATAAATAAATAAATTTAAAAAAAAAAAAAAGAACTTGGGCCCTGAAAGGATACAGGCTTTTATTCCCGTCACAACTCTGAGTGGTGTTACCTCTGTATGCTTGACTGGGTTATTTAGTCAAGCCTTCCAGTTTCAAGCCTCTTGTATAAAATGTGTATGATGATGGTGCAATGGTCTAAATGCTTGTGCTACTTCAAAATGTATGCATCTAGATGTGAACCCCCGAGACCAGTGGTATTAGAAGTGTGGAATCTGAGGTGACAGCTCCTTTAGGATTCACTAATGACCGTTATGAATAGGATTAGGTTCCATGACAAAACCCCTCATGTCTCGCATTGAGAAAGTTATGGTGGAGAGATAGATAGCCATCTATGAACCAGAAGTGGGTCTTCACCAGCTCAGACAAAAATGAGCTGGTATCTTTTTGTTTGGTTGATTTTTTTTTGGTTTAGTTTTTGTTTTGATTTTGTTTTTTTGAGTCAGGGTTTCACTGTAGCTTTGGAGCATGCCCTAGAACTAGCTGTTGTATACTAGCCTGGCCTTGAACTCACAGAGATCCACCTGCCTCTGCCGCCCAAGTGCTGGGATTAAAGTCGTGCACCACCACCACCTGACCCATGTGCTGGTATCTTTATTTTGAACTTACCATCTAGAATGGTAAGAAACAGATGTCTATTGTTCTTAAGCCACCCAGTTTATAGTATTTTTGCATACTGAAGCCAAACCAGACTAAGACAGATGTTACAAAGCTCTCTTTGTTGTGCTGAGCAGATGGATATGTGTATGGTATATTCATTATATTCTCTATTTTTATGTGTATGAGGTTGGTCAAAATGCTTAATCGTACCTCCCTTAGGACAGTTATGTAAATTCCATGAGATAAAACATAATATAGTTTGCAACAATGCCATTTTTGAGGGCTCATTTTATAAGAAGTATTGGAACTATAGTATGAATGAGAGTAACCAAAGTCCCTACCTCCAAGGTCTAATATTATTAGATCTTATTATATTTATGTACTATCGCATATTATATATTTTTGTTTATATGTTATTGTAATATATTAATTCTAAATTATATAGTTAATGATAATTATTTACCTCAACTTTCTGTGTTGAATAATTAATTCCAGATAGTGGCACTATCTGGGGGATGCCAAGAAGCCTCAGGAGGTGGGGACCAAACTGGAGGAAGTGGCTCACTGGGGAACATGCCTTTGAAGGTTAGACTCAGTCTCTCTCTGCCACTGCGTCCGGC